TAATTTTAGCGGCTTGATTCTCGAATCTTTCGTTGTTGCGTGGCTTAATAGTTCTATAGTCCTATCTCAGCCCTTATCCACTCGAATATATAGAAAATTAGCCAAGGTCTAGAGGGTCGCTGCCCTTGCAAGACCCTCTGGAAAAGGCATATTTCGAGAAGTATCACTAAAGTATTAATTAATTAATTTTTTAGAGAATACAGAAGGATATTTATAAACTATACTTCGATAGTATAGGCCAAAGCAACACAAGGGAGATCTGCAAAAGGAAATGCCTCCAGGAAATACTATCTATAGTAAACTGCAAATCTCAAAAGCTCGTACGAGTAACATACCGCGGGTTCCTTTTATTAATAAAGACAGTCTTAAAGCTTTTATTTTTTTTATTAGTAAAAATTACGCCAATTTATAGGAGGTAAGAACCACTATGAACACCTAAATTAACTCCGAGCAAAGGAAAAAAGATCCACTTTCCTCCCTTCGATGGCATTGCGAATGGCCTATATTTAGGCGAAGAAAAACTCGAGAAAGGCGCTAACCCCTCAACATTGTTGGGAGGATTTTTGCCTAAACAAAATGGGTATTTTTTGGGGGGGGTTTAGTGGTTTTATGGTGCCAAACTATCGTTAATTTTTTCGCGTTAGTTTCTTATATTCTCTTGCAAATTCGGTAAATATAACAAACCACCCTAGTTATTAATTGAAATGATTTAAATAATTAAATTACAATGTCTTATATCGATCGATACTTACAAATTCGAAACAGGATCGATCAATAAGCTAAAGAATGAAGTTGGTAAGAAGGAAAGGAAAAGAAAAGACATAAAAAATCCTCCGAATTTTAATTTTGTCAAAGAAGCTCATCGGTTTTTATAACAGATCCTCTGTCATTTTTTTTTTAAAGAAATTATGCATAATTTGAGGATATTTATGACCTTCACGTGTCAAATTCCGATAGAAAATAATTCAGAAATGCCTAGATTAGAAGTAGAGAAAGACGATAGTCCGGACTATATTAACATCGTTTCAATTGTAACTAAATCTTCTTTACATTGCTAAACACAGGCCAGAAAGACTATAGTTACGATTGATACAATTGACAAATTGAAAGCACTTGATACTACGGCAAATTATGTCACTTTATTAAATACAATTAGTGTCGACAGTTTGCCTCATGACTTTATCATGTCCATATAAAGCCAAGTGACACAAATAAGTTTATATTTTCCTCGTGACTCATACAGAACAGAAAGTAAACGTAAAGAATAAGGGTATACACTGGTATTCGACGATAACACGCGGTTTATAATACGAAATCTTTCAAACAAATGCGAAAAATTTGCAAGATTTGATCGATTCATTTGCCACTCGTAACAATGAAGGGACGTCCATGACACACATAGATAAAACATAATAAATTATAAAAGATAATATTCACAAATATCTCTAGTAGACCGAATAATTGAAATTCGATAGAAACTATCAAAGAAATGAATATAGTGAGTGAACGATGCCGATAAGAAAACTATAGGCCTTATATGAACGTAATTAAAAATCAGATAATAATTGTCACTTAATGTTAATTCTAATTAATCGATAGATTCATTAAGGAAATCCTCGTTAATTAAACTACTTAATTAAACTGTTATTGGAAAAATGTTTAGTAAAAATCTAACTGATTAAGGAACCAATTCTCTTACTAATCAATTAAAATTGCTACAATATAATTTACATTTAAAGGATTAAAAATAAAATATAGAAAACTTTCTAAACTTTGTACGTCTTCAGAACTTCATATATAACACGATAATTGCTTATAAATGTGTTATAGATCAACACAAGGCCTATTATATTAGCTAACTCCAACCCTACTCAATTATAACCTAATCGTAGATATAATATAAATCCTAATATATATAATACAAGTCTTAAATTAAAAATTAAGGCTATTATTATAACAAATGTTAGAGCCTGTCTTATCCCATCTTATCATAGATCCACCTCCATCTCTTCATTCAATGAATTGTATTAGATTTTATATCACAAAAAAACTTAATTTATAAAGTACAGAATACGTTCTAGACCTTAAAATATACATTTCATCCCGGTTCTTTTATATCTTAAGAGAATTCAGAGTTAAAAAAACACATAAAAAACAGTATCATTTGAACCATGAGCATGTTAATCAAATCTTACTTAAGAGTAGTTACTTAGAATGTAAGTGGGTTNTTACTTAAATAATAAATCATATGATATTTAGTATTTAAGATGTCTACTCAGACTTATTTTATTAATAGGACTTATTATACCGACGACTTGGTTCAGCAAATTTAAGAAAACTTATCAGAAAAAACAGTCTTTATTTTTCACTCCTTTTTACATAAAAATACAAAGTATAATTGAGTTACAAAAATCTGGTATTTTTTTCCTATATATATATATATATATAAATTTTTTTCTAAGCTACTCCTAGAGATCAAAGATACCGTTTAGATATATTAACTCCCTTAATTTGTTGACAGTCGAGTGTCTTTGTAAGAAGGAGTTGAACGAACGAAACGATAGATCTTCGTTTAACAGGAAGAAGAAGAAGAAAGGGGGGAAGGAGACGAAAAAAGGGAAAAAATAAATAAAATCTACTTCCCTTCCTGCGCGACGAACGAATTTAGGAAGTAGTAAAGTGGTTACAAACCACTATAAAAAAATGGCCACGTTGTGTAGAAAGAAACAAACCTGGTCGCTCCTAATTATTATTGAAAATAGAGGAGGGGGTAGAGATCCATTGTCAGTTGCGTCATGAGTTGCGGTGAGTTTGGTAAAGTGAAGGACATAACAGTTAACGTTTTAGAGTTGCGGTTATGCAGCTATAATATGGAGAAGTTCGTAATTACTAACGCTCAGTTCCTTATTGTACGGGCCAAGGACGTTACTTACTGAATTCAACTTGGGTTTTATACTTAGAAAAATCTTTTATATTTTCAAACAGTTCGATGTTACAACGAGGTAAGCCAAGTTTTGATTTACTTTTATAAATTGATATTGGAATATTTCCAACGTTTAGCCGTGTGTGTGTGTTTGTGTGTGTGTGTGTTACTTACTAAACTCCGTTTTAATAAATTGTAAAGCAAGTAAAATTCTCTTTAATTAAGAAAAATGTTACTGTAGATGTATAAAATGTTAATTTACTCTTAACAGTTATTTAGATTTATTCTACTCTATTTTTAAGAGTTGAGAGAAAATTTAATAATATTTCCAGTCGCTCAGATTATTATAAATTTTAATTAAAGTTTTGATACTTTAAAACACCCGTTTTGTAACTTTTAATTACTTTAAAGTGTCTCCCTTCGTCTACTTGTTTTTTTTTTTAACGTAAAAGGAAGCCCAAAAGTCGGTTTACAGCTAAATACCAGGCGCGATTGTTAATGAGAATCGTCAACCGATCATCTTCTTTCGCAAAAATTGCTGGGAAAGTACAGTCGACCCCCTATAACACTGTTGATTTTTCCGTTTTATATGAATTCCTTGTTGTACGAGTCACTTAGAATTTATACATACGTGAGCCGTTCACAACCTGGCACACGTGTTTGTAAAATCTAAGTGACTCGTACAACGTAGAATTCATATAAAATGGAAAAATCAACAGTGTTATAGGGGGGGGTCGACTGTAAATACTAATTGGTGTATATTTTCCGTTAATTATTCGAATAAGTGAGAAATTTAGTTAACTGACTTTTGAACCACCTTGTATGCGTGGAATTTCCAGTTACAATAGCCAAAAACACCAGCATTTTAAGGTGGGTAAATACCCCCAAATGGTCCCACTTAGAAAAGGTTTCTCATATGAGAGGTTTTACTGTACATGGTTTATCTGGTTTATACGTAAACCCGACATTAGTTATGGCTGTAATCTGTAAAATACAAAACCCTCCTCATTCACTAAATAATAATAAATTTAAAAGTCTAAGGCCTTGTGTTACAGGCCCCAAGTGTTGTGTATTGGAAATATGTTGCCATATGTATGTACTGTAAGTTAGTTGTGAGTATTAATGCATGTTAAACACAGGTACAGTACAACATGTTCAGGACGTATTCTAACTTAAAAATTATATTAATTCTAATTAAATTCGTACGACTTAATTAAGCATTATAAGCTACTTAAGATTAATATAAGGTTTTACAAGTTTAAATGATCAATATGAGGCTTTTTAATCGTGTAAAATTTAATTTAGCAAAAGAGTTAAATGAACTTTAATTAGTTCAATGATGGAGACACAATTAATTAAAATAAAAATCCGGCAACGAGTGGTGTAACTTTCTCGGCAAAAATATGTGCAACCCCGTCTCTTATGGGATTTCATTGTAAAAACTTTGATTAATTATTAGAAAACGGCAAAAAAGCTTAAATTTCAGGTGGAGATGAGTTTTATAAAAGAAAAAAAGAATTTAAAATGCTAATAACGAGTAAAATCTTCATTAAAAGTCCGATTCCACTCGAGATATAACACATCACCCCTTCTATCTCCTTACACTTTCGACGTTTAACCTCCAAAATTTAATGACATCAGTGCCTCTAATACACAAACCTCCTAGCAAATTTTCAGAGATTTTCGGCATAACGCAAAGGAGTTACTAAGCTTCAGATTGGGTGTACAAAATTGTGTACACACAACACACTTAACACAAACACAATACAAGCACAATATATGCACAATACAAGCACAATACAAGCACAACACAAGCACAATACAAGCACAATATATGCACAACACAAGCACAATACAACCACATTACAACCACAATACAACCATAACCCAAACACAATGCACAGTACAAACATAATACAAACACAATACAGGCACAATACAACCATAACCCAAACACAATGCATGCACAGTACAAACTTAACACAAACACAATACAGGCACAATACACACACAAAAGAACAACTAGACATTTTTACATTTCTCGATGTTTCAAAGTACCCCAAGTCCAAAAATAAAAAATTTGGGGGATCATTTTGACCGATTGCCATACTTTCAGTTAGGAAAGTAAAATATATATATATATTAAAATTAATTTTAGAAGATAATAGAACTTAAATTTTAATTATAATTTTACAACTAGGTATACACGATGCCAGAATATCTCAGGAAACGTTTCGGAGGCCAAAGAATCAGGATATATTTATCAGTTCTCGCTCTTCTCTTATACGTATTTACTAAAATTTCGGTAAGTTTTAAGGGTAACAATTGAAAATAATTCATAATTCATTCATAATTTTAATATTTCAAAAACAATTTTAGGCTGATTTATACGCTGGAGCCATATTCATCAATCAGTCGATTAAGCTGGAGTTATACAGTTCAGTTCTAACCTTATTAGTAATATCGGCGCTGTTTACCATATCCGGTATGTAAATTTAATAAACCTTAACCCGTCCTTACGATCCCTACACGACATTAATGTGATATTTAAATAATTTTAGGAGGTTTAACGGCGGTTATGTGGACAGATTCGGCTCAGACTGTGTTAATGCTCATAGGTGCCTTCGTTTTAATGATACTGAGTAAGTACAAATTGTAACGCGATAAAATTAATTATAATTAAGTTTTAATTGTGTTTTAATTGTTTTTAAGGTTTTATTAGAGTCGGAGGTTACACCGAATTACTCGAGAAATTTGCTATGGCTCAACCCAATGATAGTTATATAGGGTATGGCATAGATAATAAGTCTTGCAGTTTGCCACCCGACAATTACAAGCATCTTTTAAGAAGCGCGAGCGATCCAGAATTACCTTGGACCGGAATTACCTTTGGCTTGACAATATCAGCAGTCTGNAAATAAAATCAAATTTATTGCTACTTTTTTTACAGAAATAAATCATAAAATATACGATAAAAACTTTTATTAAACATTAAAAAAATGGAAAAAATATGAAAATTCTTGCTTAAATATTAAAAAATAATTTTTATAGATTTTAAAACTATTTTCTTACATTTAAAATGTAAAATAAAAAGGTGATTTTGAACAGATACAGTATGAAAATATGCCCTTTAGATAGACAAATATAATTGCACAGCTGTTTCTAAGCATGATTTGAATTAATGAAGTAAAGCATGTACATGATTCACCTGTTTTCTTAGAATTTCCTAACATCAGCTGCACATAAAGAAATGTATATAAATCATGTTTCATATTTAAAAAAATATATATATATATTAAAATTAATTTTAGAAGATAATAGAACTTAAATTTTAATTATAATTTTACAACTAGGTATACACGATGCCAGAATATCTCAGGAAACGTTTCGGAGGCCAAAGAATCAGGATATATTTATCAGTTCTCGCTCTTCTCTTATACGTATTTACTAAAATTTCGGTAAGTTTTAAGGGTAACAATTGAAAATAATTCATAATTCATTCATAATTTTAATATTTCAAAAACAATTTTAGGCTGATTTATACGCTGGAGCCATATTCATCAATCAGTCGATTAAGCTGGAGTTATACAGTTCAGTTCTAACCTTATTAGTAATATCGGCGCTGTTTACCATATCCGGTATGTAAATTTAATAAACCTTAACCCGTCCTTACGATCCCTACACGACATTAATGTGATATTTAAATAATTTTAGGAGGTTTAACGGCGGTTATGTGGACAGATTCGGCTCAGACCGTGTTAATGCTCATAGGTGCCTTCGTTTTAATGATACTGAGTAAGTACAAATTGTAACGCGATAAAATTAATTATAATTAAGTTTTAATTGTGTTTTAATTGTTTTTAAGGTTTTATTAGAGTCGGAGGTTACACCGAATTACTCGAGAAATTTGCTATGGCTCAACCCAATGATAGTTATATAGGGTATGGCATAGATAATAAGTCTTGCAGTTTGCCACCCGACAATTACAAGCATCTTTTAAGAAGCGCGAGCGATCCAGAATTACCTTGGACCGGAATTACCTTTGGCTTGACAATATCAGCAGTCTGGTATTGGTGCTCTGACCAGGTATGTGATTACAGTAACTTAACAATACTCTTGTTATAAATTAGTAGAATCAGGCTTGATTTACACTTAATTTATAAAATACAAGAGGCTCTTCCGGCTCACAGTGGCCGAGTGAATAGAACCAGTGAACAATGGTATCTGGTCACGGGTTTCTTGACGTTTGTAACATCTAAATAAGAGCCAGTTTCATGTAGAAAGTCCTCCCAGGAGGAATACCGCTCACGAGTTGAGTTGCAGTATATAAATAAGAGGTCTTTCACCAAGTAATGAATTTAAATATATGAGGTCCTCCGTTGTAGTTTGTTTAGCTTATACAGAGGACTTAATTTGTCATTATGTAGCAGGCAACATGCACTTTTAAGTAGTGATTACTTCATTATAATTAATTCGCGCGCCATTCTTTTATACAAAAAAAGTACAGTCAAACCTCCCATAATGGCGGCCATTTTGGGGTAACATTTCTTTTTGAAATATACAACTTCAAACAATGTTATTTTTTTTTATGTTCTAGTCAGTGGCCAATAATCAGGGGTTCGACTGTGCTCTGTTATTGTTAGGTTGTTATAGTAACAAATTTAACGAGGTTTTTTAGAATCCAATTTCTTGGAAACGTTCAGAATGAAGTTCAAATTCGCCAATAAAAGGTTACAAATTAAAAATTAACGTATTTAATTATATAACAGGTCATAGTCCAGAGAGCTTTGTCAGCTAGAAGCATGGTTCACGCTAAAGCCGGATGTATACTTGCTGGTTATCTGAAGTTACTACCACTTTACCTTTTGGTACTCCCAGGAATGGCTGCTCGCATATTGTTCCCAGGTTCATATTTTCATATTTATTTACGTTTTTTTTATTACCTTTAGCGAGAAATACTAAAAAAATAGTGTATTACAATTAAAGATATCGTCGCTTGCTCCGATCCAAAAAAATGCGAAGAGGCTTGCGGAATTAAAACTGGATGCACCAATGTAGCATATCCTATGTTAGTTCTTAACCTTATGCCAGCAGGTAACGTATTGANAAGTGATATTTTCTATATTTTTCAATGTATTTTTGATGTTCTTTTTTATTAAAATTATATTATGATGTATTAATGCCTAGACTTATATTTATAATATGTTTCTATGCAATAATTCTAAGCATTAATTGTTATTTTTTTTTAGGCATTCTCGGATGTTAATAATGCTTTTGGCGTTAATATCTAAGCTTTAGCATTTTATTATTTTTTTTTTTAGGTATAATATTAGGCTATTTTCACCATATATTTTAAGCATTTTTAGGTATTAATATTAGGCTATTTTCACCATATATTTTAAGCATTTTTAGGTATTAATATCAGGCTATTTTCACCATATATTTTAGGCATTTTTAGGTATTAATATTAGGCCATTTTCATCTTATCTTTAGGCATTTTTAGGTATTAATATCAGGCTATTTTCATCTTATTTTTAGGCCTTTTTAGGTATTAATATCAGGCTATTTTCACCATATATTTTAGGCATTTTTAGGTATTAATATCACGCTATTTTCATCTTATCTTAAAGCACTTCTAGGCAATATTATTTAAATTATTCGTCGTATTCTCAGCATTTTCAGGCATTAACATCCACCAAAATTTCACCATATTATTCAATCATTAACCTTAGGAATTATCCCCATATTTATACACAAATATACATTAAAAAAAGGGAGCGAATTTCAATCCAATATTCGAAAACACGCTTCTAAATATTTTAAATAAAATTAAACTTTATAATATTTTTAAACATTATTAAATTGTAAAGTTCATAATCTGTATAGGGTGTAAAATTCTTAGTTGACAGAAATTTATTATTCGTTGTAAATTATTCGCGCGGTTTAAAAGGAGGATAAAATTAAAAAAAAAAAAGAACAAGAGGAGGAGGAGGAGGAGGAGGGAGTAATTTAAATAATTATTCAATTTGTGGACATTTGGAGAGATGAGACATTTGTCTTGGACTAGAATAAATGTTGTGATGCATTTTAAAACTAGAGAATGTGTTAAGATAGTCATTTGTACTCATTTGAAAAGTTGATGCGAAAACTCGTGTATAATGCGCTCGACATTTTCCAAAATATTCCTAACTCATCATCCATTCTTCCTTAAAAACACGACAAATAAATAAATAAATAAATCCTTTTTTTACTAACTACTTTGTAAGTCCCTTTATACTTTTAAACATATTTAATTTATGTACATTAAACTATCAAATGACTGTATCTAACATTTTAATTAAACTACTACTTTATTAAGAAAAATCTGTAATTTTAAGGAAAACTTACGTGGATTCGGATTGACAGACTTACTAACGTCCCGTGTTGTAATAACGTATATCTAATGTACTGACCACTTTATTTTTGAGTGTATTTTATTCAATAACTGTGGTACGATAAGACATAAAAGAAGGATTTAGTTGGACCTGTAATAGTAAAGATCTAATTTCGACAAAGAACGCATTTAATGCTCTAAAAATATTTGTTAACACCGCACGAGTTCTAAAACCACAATGGAATTGTGGTTGACGTATTGTTATTGGCTACGTCACACAAGTTTTGTCTTATACTGTTCTGCTCTATACTGTCCCATTTTATCATTATGGTGGAGACGTTACTTTTTGTGTATTTATAACTACAATGTTATGCATTACTTTTTTTTTCGGGTCGTAGCTTAATTTTTTTTATTCAAATATTTTTTTTTTTGCTGTTTTTCATAATTTTTTTTCTTTAGTTTTAATTATCTTTCTTTGTAATTTTTTTGGTCTGTTTCTTTTGTAATTTTTGTCTTTTTCTTTTGTAATTTTTTGTCTGTTTCTTTTGTAATTTTTGTCTTTTTCTTTTGTAATTTTTGTCTTTTTCTTTTGTAATTTTTTGTCTGTTTCTTTTGTAATTTTTGTCTGTTTCTTTTGTATTTTTTGTCTGTTTCTTTTGTATTTTTTGTATTTTTATTTTGTATTTTTTGTATTTTTCTTTGTAATTTTTGTCTGTTTCTTTTGTATTTTTGTCTGTTTCTTTTCTACTATTTGTCTGTTTCTTTTATATTTTTGTCTGTTTCTTTTGTATTTTTTTGTCTGTTTCTTTCGTATTTTTTGTATTTTTCTTTGTAATTTTTGTTTTTTTCTTTTGTAATTTTTTATCTGTTTTTTTTCTTGTATATTTTTCTATCGTATTTTTTAATTTCACTTTGTATATTTCTTTAATTTTCTTTTGTAATTTTCTCTTCTCTTCGTAAAACGTTGGATGTTGTAAGTTTTTTTTTGTCACGAGAAGCTTCATTGTTTTCTATCTTCTACTATAGAATCGTATTACCTTTCACGATTTTTCTTTTTGTATTTTCGATTATTATGCACTGCATTTACTTCTACGAGTTCCTGAGTTAATTCTTATTCAATTATTGAATTTTAAATTTAAAAGTTCTGTATTTCTTTGTTGCTGTATCCACAAATTTAAAGGCAACGCTCTTATTTCATTATAAATACAGTAATATCCCTTGTAAACAAGTCTTTTTGATTCACCCTAATGGGATCTTTTCTCCTCTTTCTTCTCATCCCCTTCTTGATTAGGCTCTACCCTTTAACAATAACAAAAACAATATTAATTCTATTTAATTTCTTGTGTTTTATAGATTTATGTGAATTTCAGTATAAAATTAGAAAATTTCTACATTTAATTACTTTAGAATTAAGTTAAATTTATATTATTTTCCAGCCATTACGTCGCTGACACCGTACTTAGGACCCCAAATGCGTGATAAAGGATTCACATTTAAAGAGACGGCTAACATCATTACCGCATCCTCCTTTATCAGCATTTTAGGACCTTTAATCATTGGACCTGTTGCGGATCGTCGAGCAAACTACAAATTATTAATAATCGTAATGATTTTTATGTCGACAATCTTCTATACCAGCTTGCTTTTCATACCTCGAGTCATAAGGGTGCCAAGAGAACCCCTGAAGCAATTCGATTGCACCTCATCTATATATCTGGAAAAGTGTAGCAACTGGGAGAATTGCGTGGATGCCAAATTAGGCAACGACGATTTGATCATGTTTCGACTTTCTAAATGTCGTTACATGTGTTCCAATTCTAGAGTGGCTGATGTACCCTATCCTTTGCACATCTGCTTCGAGAGCAGCGAAGGTAATCTGTGTTCCGTGTACAACCCTTTACTTAAGGGGAACGTTTCTCTGAATTTTAAGACGTACTTCACCGAATGGAAAACGGAAGAATTGAAAAATATGAAAACAACGGATTTCCTGGAGTACGACGAAGATTTGCCACCTCAAAGAATGAAAGTTTGCCAATTTCATCCCAGTCCACCAATCTTCGTGTCTGATAAAACTTACAATAACATCTATTGTAGGCCGGTTCCTAAAAATTGTTACATGAGATGCCAATTATCATTTATACAAGACGAAAAAGAGATCTTTCCCATTCCATGCACCGATACTTTGGGTAATATCCAACTTACTTTTTGGGCTTACTTAGGTATGAGAACCTTTGGGGACTTGTGTATTACTACCGCTGTTTTTCTCTTAGATGCCCTCATTCTAACGGGTACTAACGACTTTTATGGTGCATACGGGAGAACGCATTTGTGGAGTGCTGTAGGACTGGCCAGCATATCTCCTCTGGCTGGTGTTTTGATCGATTACTTCAGCACCGATACTTCTACAACTAACTACTTGCCTGCTGTTTGTATTTACGATCTCATTGTGTTGTTTACGTGTTGCGTATTATTTTTCCTTCCTTTAAAAATATCACACAAGATGGTTTCGGTCGATACAATTGGTTATCAGAAGCAATGTTCTAAAGCCTGCACTCTCGAGATAATAATACTTATGGTTCTTGTACTGGTGTTAGGTACGGAGTGGGGTGTAATGGAAACTTTTCTTCATTGGTACTACACGGAAATTGGGTGTAGCAAATTAATTCTAGGGATAACTCAGAGTTTAGCATTCTGCTGTAGTTTACCATTCTTAATTATATCTAAAAACATGGTACAGGATATCGGAAGAACAAATATTATCGTGTTTGCATTTCTTTTCTATGCCATACGTTATTCTGGTGTGTCGTTTGTGCATAATCCTTGGTGGGTCCTTCCGTTCGAAGCTATGGAAACTTTTACCATGAGTGTCATGTGGATCGGTGTTGTGGCATTTGGACAAAACATCGTTTCCTTTAAATCAAGACTGCCCATGCAATATTCCTTAAACATCGTGCACTTTTGTGTAGGTGAGTAACTTTCGTATCAAATTTTATACGTTAAAAAATGGGTTTATGTAACTTTATGTGTTTTTATATTGTGACTGTATTGTTTGCCCTCTTTATAACCCTCTTCCTAACTCGATATTAGGCAACAGCAGGCATAGAACTGCATCTCGTGGGATGAAGAGAGGGTGATGACGATAGATTAAACATGAATTTATGACACTGTTATAAAGGATACTGTATTAACCATAATTAACAATTCCTAGATAACGAGCAGTAAAATCAAATAATCATTTGTAAAGAATGAAAAATCGTATCGATTAAGCATCAAAACGTTGAGAAAATTGGCACGTGGCACACACGGTATTGATTGAGAAATCCACTTATGACGGATTAATTACAAGTTAAATCTTATAGAATTTTATTAATTTAAATCTCGAATTATTAAATATATTATTAAATTAAGTATTTAAGGAATTAACTTTACATAAATTAGTAGAAAATATTCGCTAAACACGATAAGATTTCAACGTCAATTCGCTACTTAAAATTTCGACAATTTAAAGGTCAGTGTTCATTCTAGAGCACTTCCTGAATTAAATAAATAAATAAATAAAATAAATGTTATATAAACAGAGTTAAACGTCCGTGGGATTACATAATAAGTTAACTGATGCGTGGGTTTCATTTTTGTATATAACAAGTGGGAGTTTGGGAGGTTAATTAATTAAGGAAAACCAGTGTCAAAAATTTATTCGACGTGTCGCTTCGTTTAAGGACTTTTTCACTGGAAAAAAAAAAAATGCAACGAAATTCACCACAAAATTAAATTTTTAAAGAAGACATTAAAGATTTTAATTGCATAATAATTTTAATGACGATCAACAGTTTACAAACTGATTTATTTAAGGATTTAATGGCTTTAGATAAGGATTTTGTGACTCTCGTAAACTCTCCTCCTATTGAATAACAATTAAATCTTAACAAAATCACTTAATTTAGTAAATATTTATTTAAAAATTTGAATGTAAATTAAGCTTATAAATCGAGTAATAAAGTAAGGAAAAAGCTCGATATATAAGGATAAAATTGAAAAAGATGTTATCAGAATGCTCCTCACGATACAGGGGAGGACAATTGAAAAATCTAAGACAAATAAATAAGCACACACACACACACACTACCCTCGAGTCTTACAAGATATATTTATTTTTCATTCTTCTCTCAATTGTCTGTGCTGTGTGTCTGTCATACTTTATCACATCCGACACATAGCATTACCTTCTATAATATATATATATATTTGTTCTTAAAGGACGATGAACTTTTACTAAATTTATATATAAAGTCGAACTACTAATATAGGCCACCTGTAAATGGCGGACATTTTTTTTTATTAAACTAGTCGTGACAAATGTATTAGCTGCGATCAAAGAACAATCATTAATCAGTTAACAGACAGACTGACGGACAATCGGAAAAAAAAACAGATAAATGGATGTAAGAAGCAGACTCACAAACAAACAGACCGAATTGACAGATAACCGTTGACAAACCACAGACAGACAAACAAACGAATAGATTGACAAACAGGTTTACAGAGAAAACAGCCAGATAGACAAGAGATACAAACGTAAACAGAGCAGATAATTAAACAGACAAACAGAACGCTTTTCACGACAGATTAATATCTAGATAAATGTCAAACAATCAGACAAACGGATGTATTGTATAAACAGACAAACGAGTAGAGTGACAATCAGATAGAGAGAGAAGGACAACACAGAGCGTGGAGAAAATACACGAAGAAAATGAGCTCACGTACAGTACGACCAGACACACGGACGTACTCAAAAAACTAATCAAAATCTTATTCGTAACACTTTCATATCAAACAAAATCTATGTCATATTAACAATACATTCCAATACACATAAGGCATTACACACCCCCACGAAAAAAAAAAAAAAGTAAAGAGCACGCGATTGGTTCGATCGTACGTACGTATTTTAAATATAACCAATCGTCTTATTTTATTTATTAAACAGAATATTTAATATAATTAATTAACCGAAAATTTATAGATAATATTAAATAATTTGAGGGTGACGAGTTAAATAAATGCCTCCTGATTAAATTTAACGGCACGAAATTTGGTTATAATTTATGCCTTATTATTAATTATAATTAACAGATGTAGCAAGACAAATAGGAATATTATACGATATTATCTTGTACATTGGATAACTTTATCGATGACTTTTAGCCAGTTTATTTTATTATTTTAATTAATTAATGATGCTAAATGATTAAAAATATATTTAAATTATATTTTTAACCTTAAATAACGCATAAAAATAAGGATTTTGGGGTTTTTTTAAGGCTCGTTTTTTCGGAAAGGATAAAGGATAATCCATATTATACCTTATTTTAAACACTATTACCAAAGAGTAGTGTTAATGTATTAAGTTTTAAAATATTTTGTACTTTCCTTACAAAAATCTTCGGCAATTATTAATAATATAACACAGAATTTGCGCTATATTAATACTACAGAATCTAAACAAAGCTCCCTTTCTTACAGTATTCATTGTCTAGTGCTGTATTATTTCTAATAAACATCAATTATTACTCCCTTTCGTATAGCCCTCATTTTTCTAGTGCTATATTAGCACTAATACAGGGCCAACCAATGCCTCCTATAGTGCTAATACACATCAGTTAAAGCTTCGTTTTTGTATACTTCCTATTGTCTTAGTGCTATATTAGTACTTCAATTCTAACAATAGAACAGTTAAAGTTTTCTTCGGCTCGGCTCTGTTCTATTAGTATTATACTTTTTAGAGCACGTGACCTTTTAAAGCACATTCTACTTAATTACCGAGTTAACATTCACAGAATCTCATTTAAATCTTTCACGCCCTTTTAGTTAATGTATAACACACGAAAATCGACACGAATCGCAACGATAATCATCAGTGTTAAGTACTAAACACGCGTCATTAGAATATAGATCGCAAGTTATAACACTAGGTAATAAATTCGCCACATCATCAATGCGTAATATTCAAACCAGCGAATCACACAAAACTTCAACAACACCAAGAAGACGTGGGCATTTAAGTGCATCTGTCACATTCCCCCCCCCCGAAAAACGGTAATAAAGTGTGGCACACACGATCCAAAATGTATCCCAAAATCGCCATCGATGGTGGCATCGACACTTAACAAGATACTCGTTATCATCTTTTATGCATAGAAAATAATAAAGGATATTTGTAAGGATGATGGATGATGACTTTTTTTTTTTTTGTTGTTTTCCTTACAGGAAGAGGAATCGGAAGTTTCCTTGGTGGAATATTGTTAACGAAATTCACACGTAAACAGACATTCCTCGGTATAGCGACTTTTTCTACAATATTCGGTCTGATGTATTTATTCCTTCACCATACGTTGTTCAAGAGAGAATACAGATCAAAGTTACCAGCCTTTGCGAGTGAGTATACCCCCGAATTACACCTTAATGCACTTAAAAAAAAAAAAACAATACTGTATAAGGGTGGTCCAAAATTAAGTTAACAGAGAGACATTATTCGTTTCCGAATGTAGCTAATAAGTCTCGATCGTTCTTACACTTAACCTTTAAAGTATATTTATATATCGGTAAGCCGACTTTTGGGCCACCCCTTTATACTTTTAAAATTTCTAAAAGTTAATTTTTTTTACAGATTTTTTGAAGAAAGGGAGATGGATAAAGGGCAAAAAAATGCAAAATGGAGATCCTAAGGTCCTTCAACCGATTTTAGAAGCGGAGTAATTCTCCTCTCCCCTTATTTTTGTTTTATTTATTTGTTCATTATCTAAATTTAATCGATGATTAGAAGCATTTAACTGTACAAATCATATATTATTTATTGCCTAGAAGAAAAGAATAATTTTTAAATTGTCTTTTATGGAATGCTAATGTATCTATCGATTTTTTTTTGTATTTTTAAATAATTAAGTAGTGTTTTTTTAAAAAAAACACAAAGAAAAAACACAATACCGTTATTAACAACATTCCATTATCTTTCTAGCAGATATTCGCAACTGGTAAATCGCGATCTACTAGTTGAGAATTAACACCCTCGTTTTAAAATTAAATTGATTTTCAACTAATAGATCGCGGCTTACAAGTTGAGTAATGGTATAGTTATGTAGCTTAAAAATGGAGTTTAATCATTTTTAATGTAATTTTAGTGTATTAAATAATTTAAACAATTAAAAAAATAATAATTTCTGTGCTTTCTTTTATGATTTTTTTAATAATAATTGTGTAAAAAGCGTGAAATTCACCCGAAAACTTAAGAATTTGCACACTTTTCCGTTGTTCTAATGCCAAATTTCATAGTAAGAAACATATATACATACCGTTTAAATTAAGAAATTTATAAGAAATTTTAACGAAATATAACTTGAGAGGAACTTCTTATAATACGGAATTTACCTTATAATTATGGAAAACTTCTACTTTAAGATTCAGCAGCGTAAGGTTTATTTAAAATTAGGCCCATATGCGACATCTATTTTCTTTGGATCGTTATAATCGAATCCATTTTGGAATACAGTCAAACCTCGGCTTTCGAACAATTCGGAATTTCGGTTTCCGTACAACAACTCGGTTTTCGAACAATTCGGAATTTCGGTTTCCGTACAACAACTCGGTTTTCGAACAATTCGGAATTTCGGTTTCCGTACAACAACTCGGTTTTCGAACAATTCGAAATTTCGGTTTCCGTACAATAACTCGGTTTTCGAACAACTTTTAGGAACGAATTAAGTTCGGAAACAGAAGTTTTGACTGTACTCTGATTATTTCGGGTAATTTCAACTTCGGATTTGAACGTAATCCAACATAGAAATCTCCCAAAAAAGGAGAGATTTCCGTTTGTTTATTCAAGTAATAGTATTTAAAAAATTTTAATCGAGATTCACAAAAATAATTACTTAGCATGGGGGTGTGTTCGATAGTCGAGGCTATTGGAGTGTTGGCGATTTTCGTTTAATTTATTTTTATTACATTAAACGAATACTTGTTTCAATATTATTAAGTAAAATGCAACGTTCGCCGATCAAAAAAGGAAGACCACCATTACACCGAGCCAAAAAGGGTAGTAGAAAAGACTTATCAGGTTCCACCACTTCTAAACTTAGACTATAACTTACTTGGTGATAAAAATTCACAGGAATCAACTTCAGTTAATATTGATTTGTTTCAAGATATTACTCCTAAAAATCCTCAAATATTTCCAGGTGAGCCAAATAATTCTTATTTTACTTCTTTAACGAATCCAAATGATTTGAAAGACATCCCAACCGCAGTTCTATGGAACAAAATCATCGACTCGACTCGATTTCTCTCCTCTAATGAAAAACTTTTAAGCCAAATGACGTCTATTAGAAAATATTTGGAACTTATACGGGAAAGTATTCGAGAAACTAAAGAACAATATAGATATATTGCAAGGACAAATTAATAATCTAAAACAGCAAATTCAAACTTAATTTTTTATGATATTAGAAAACAAAACCATCGAGTAAAATTACGTAACGATTAAACTCGATTATCCGGCTGCATTACAAATTTTTTCTTTACTGTTACTCTATAAAAGTTATTTTTCTGTATTATTAACTTTGATATTTTGATTGTTATTATCTGGCATTGTAATTAATGTTATTAAAATTATTACTTATAATTGTAATCTTTAAAAATGTTTGTAATCTTCTTTTTTATCAAATGTACCACCCCCTAACAGGGAAAATATCCTTTTTTGTGAATAAACCATTATTATTATAATTATTTAACACGAATTATCATCAAGAAACGTCATTCCAAACTGCTGCAAGTAAAGTTTTACATGGATCTTTATGTAAAGATCATGGCAAGAAACTGCTTCAAGTGAGGATTTATGTGAATCTTCATGCGAGAAACTGCTTCAAGTGAGGATTTATGTGAATCTTCATGCGAGAAACTGCTTCAAGTGAGAATTTATGTGAATCTTCATATGAGAAACTGCTTCAAGTGAGGATTTATATGAATCTTCACACGAGAAACTGCTTCAAGTGAGGATTTATATGAATCTATACGAGAAACTGCTTCAAGTGAGGATTTATACGAATCTTCACACGAGAAACTGCTTCAAGTGAGGATTTATGTGAATCTTCATATGAGAAACTGCTTCAAGTGAGGATTTATACGAATCTTTATACAAGAAACTGCTTCAAGTGAGGATTTATATGAATCTTCATATGAGAAACTGCTTCAAGTGAGGATTTATATGAATCTTCATACGAGAAACTGCTTCAAGTAAACCCCCAAAAAACCATTTAAAAATAAGAATAAAGCAACACAAATTTTATTTATTTATATATAGATTTTTTTATTACTTTTGATATTATAATAGCACAATAGTAATAATAAATTAACATTCGAGATAATGATAATAAATGAAAGATGTTGATTGTCGATGAGAAATTCATTTGTTTTTTTTTCCACATTTAGAATCTTAAAATTGTTTCGTTTCACAATTAAAACAAATACAAAGATGATGTTGAAATTTGTTCCATATATGGATATATAATTCCATTGTTTATAATGAAGAAATTCAAAGATCTAAACTGAATTCTTAAACAATACTTACGCTCTTTTCTTGTATACAAATGTACTAAGACAATACTATTAATTGTGCGTTTTATTTGAAGAATTAATCCAGTTCCAACTGCACAGTTCCACGTTGAAAGAAATGGATGGAATTTGTATGCAAGAGTAAAAAATTAAAAGCTATCAAACCATGCCAATGTTCGTTCCAGATTTCAGGTTTTTTTTCTGCTTTCAGATTTACATAAATCTTTGATTTAAAATGTGGACAGACTCCAAAAATTCACCATAAATTACATAATAATCCCCACTCTCTCTCTTCCCCTTCTGCTCTTCTTCCATTCTTCTAACTAACCCACGTGTAGACGTGGAATCCATGATTCTTCCAGAACTTGCATTTCATCTTGGAATAATTCAGTTGTATTGTGATGTTATCGGAGATGACGGCCACACTTTTAGGAAATTTGGACCACCCAGAAATTCCCGTGGAGGTGCCGGAAGATCTAACAAAATTCAAGACCACCTGCTGCAACGAATCGCGGAATGCCACGTCTTCTCTAGAGGTGGTACCCACGAAGAATTCCTGTTTGTCGAAGAACGACACAATGTCCCATAAGTGGAAACTATAAATTGCATTGTAATCGTATATTCTCGCCTAGAAAACACAAGAATCTCGTGAAATTTGCCAATTAATATGGTCACGAATTCGAAAATCTTACCGGTTTGGATGGTTTGGAAGAGATAACGTAACGATAAACTGGTGAAGTCAGGCAACCTGCCAACAATTCACTTAGTTCATTGACTGGGCATGTTTGCCTCACGTCTGACACCATAGTTGTGTAAACATACTCGGGCGTGACGGGAATTTCTGTTTAAAAAAATAAGAAAAAAATACACATAACCTTTTGTTAACTCGTGATACCAGCTTTTACGAATTACCTACAAGTGACGGAAATATTTACGATTTTCTACGCTTTATACTAAAAAAAAAACCGTAGTTTTCTTTGTTAAATTTACAGTTTAAAATGCACTAATTTAAATAACATTTGTATTTTACTTAAATTTTAATAAATTTTTTTAAAATTCCTGCTGCAAAAATTACATTGTGATCCCTATTTGAATTCAATAGTTTGCGCTTTAATAACTGGAATTTTTAGGGAATTTATTAAATTTTTGAGAAGTTTTTAAGAAATTTAATATTTTAAATAACAAATTTTTAATTTGTTACATAAAAAAATAACAGTTTTAAATCATTTTATTCATAAATAAAGTATTAAACATTGAGAATTTTTATAGGATAACTGGGAGTGTAATGGTTAGAATATGAATTTTTTTTTATTAAAGTTTTAGGTGTTTTATTAAATTTTTTGTTGTGTTTTTTTTATATAAAATTAATTTAACATTCTAGACGTAATTGCATTTTTAATAATAAAAATACTCCATTATTAAATTATAAAAACGAATTTTTACAACCGAATCTTCCGCATGCAACTCACGATAATTTGTTAAAATAAATGAAAAAAAAAATTGTTAAAATATAATTCAATTTAAACAATTTTTTTTTATAAATAATCGAAAAAAATTCTGTGTGTAAATCTCCTGTTATCAGCCAAAATTTCCCCTTGGAAAATTCGCTGGTCGTAAGGGTGTAATTGTTGACGAAATAAATCAAAACAATGTGTTGTACCGTTCGAAAGATATGGCCAATTTCGGCAAAATTTCCCAAAACACCAAAGGTCAAAAGTGTGCCATTTTGTCTTAATGGCTTGTGTACAACTCTCCCTCCACATCACTGATGCTTAGGAGAAGTGATGCTGTAAGACGAGGATTAAGACGTTAAAGCTGATGTGTTATATCGAAATAAAAAAAAAACGGCTGTTATAATTTATATGTCAATACAAAATTCCAGTATTTTACTTTATTTTAAGGAATTTTATGTATAATTTTTCTACCAGAATTATATTTTCAAATACAGAACTTAAGACCACGTATAATGCCCACCACCAATTATCTACAAGAAATTCCCTAACAGAAAAGAAAATCCCTTACCAACAGGCAAAGAAGCATTGTAGATACGTAAAGCCAATTCGCTAACTTTGGGTTTAAAACTATCCAAACTGGTAGTGACGTATTTCTTGTATTGGCTCCAACTCCAACGACGTATATCATCGGGACCGGGCCAGACATCAACAGCTTGAGCTCCCGTACCTAAAAATACACAACAATAAAAACAGAGTAATTAATGACAAAACAGTAGGAGGGGGAAAGAATGGCAACAATTNGAAATTTAATATTTTAAATAACAAATTTTTAATTTGTTACATAAAAAAATAACAGTTTTAAATCATTTTATTCATAAATAAAGTATTAAACATTGAGAATTTTTATAGGATAACTGGGAGTGTAATGGTTAGAATATGAATTTTTTTTTATTAAAGTTTTAGGTGTTTTATTAAATTTTTTGTTGTGTTTTTTTATATAAAATTAATTTAACATTCCAGACGTAATTGCATTTTTAATAATAAAAATACTCCATTATTAAATTATAAAAACGAATTTTTACAACCGAATCTTCCGCATGCAACTCACGATAATTTGTTAAAATAAATGAAAAAAAAAATTGTTAAAATATAATTCAATTTAAACAATTTTTTTTTATAAATAATCGAAAAAAATTCTGTGTGTAAATCTCCTGTTATCAGCCAAAATTTCCCCTTGGAAAATTCGCTGGTCGTAAGGGTGTAATTGTTGACGAAATAAATCAAAACAATGTGTTGTACCGTTCGAAAGATATGGCCAATTTCGGCAAAATTTCCCAAAACACCAAAGGTCAAAAGTGTGCCATTTTGTCTTAATGGCTTGTGTACAACTCTCCCTCCACATCACTGATGCTTAGGAGAAGTGATGCTGTAAGACGAGGATTAAGACGTTAAAGCTGATGTGTTATATCGAAATAAAAAAAAAAACGGCTGTTATAATTTATATGTCAATACAAAATTCCAGTATTTTACTTTATTTTAAGGAATTTTATGTATAATTTTTCTACCAGAATTATATTTTCAAATACAGAACTTAAGACCACGTATAATGCCCACCTCCAATTATCTACAAGAAATTCCCTAACAGAAAAGAAAATCCCTTACCAACAGGCAAAGAAGCATTGTAGATACGTAAAGCCAATTCGCTAACTTTGGGTTTAAAACTATCCAAACTGGTAGTGACGTATTTCTTGTATTGGCTCCAACTCCAACGACGTATATCATCGGGACCGGGCCAGACATCAACAGCTTGAGCTCCCGTACCTAAAAATACACAACAATAAAAACAGAGTAATTAATGACAAAACAGTAGGAGGGGGAAAGAATGGCAACAATTCCCTCGCCACTCCTCTTACCTATCAACAGAGCCACATCGGTCACCTGTCCTAACTGAAATATCTCTTCTGTGGTTCCTGTTATTAATCTCCCTACAAAAATATTAAAGTAAATTAATAATATAAGAAGATAAATGAAGATAAAAATCAGGGATATATATATATATATATTTTTTTCTTTCAATGCTAATTTGCATTTAAAACGGGGAAAAAGTTAATTAAAACTTGTGCTACGTTTTATAAATTCCCTATCGATCCGCTTGAACTCCATGCAAGATTCCTAAGAGTTAATCTGGCTGTTGGCCCAATTACTCGGTTGCAAACCTTTCTAATTTCGTGTGATTTATCATTAGAAAAAGCAGAAAAATGGCCGTCCTTACCATCAATAACACAGAATTGTTCGGGGTAAATTCCCTGAATGGGTAGATCGTTCTGATCTCGTACTCGAAACGACGGGTCATCTTTCCCTAAATAGGTGTTAATGACCTCTTTGGCTGTTAATTTCCTCAGGCAATCAGCGTTGTACCCGCAACCCGTCCTCTTTAGGAATATTGCATGTTCTCTCCTCGATACGTCCTCTAAAGTTCGATTGAATATCATGGAAGGTCCAATTAACCAAGCCGAATTGAATAGGTTACGTGTCAAGCTCGAGGTCATAAAGGTCAAGATGCTGGCTGCGCCCACGTCAGCACCGAAAACGGTCACCTGAATACAAAAAAAAATACAATGTTTTTGAGGGTAGATAGAAAGTAATACAGTAAAACCTGTGTAAGCCGGAATCGTACGGTTCCGGTTTGAACGGGTTTTCTTTTTAACATCGAAAATCGCTCCGTTTCGAATACTTTTTTCCCGTTTAGGCAGGTTCCGTCTTAGACAGGTTTTATTGTATTGTAATATAACAATATACTGTACAATATAACACTAACTTTTAGAGTAAATGGCGGGTTACAACGTAAACTTTATTCGTGTAAAGTACTGTATGTAAATTTACACGACAATTTGCTACTTTTTTAATAAGAAAAGTGTGTAAAATATAAATTTAAATTTAAAGTTAATTAAAAAAAAACTATACTTTAACTATAATTAAACTGTATGTTAATGGTAAATGTCATTAACTGTAAATTAACTGTACATTCTCATTAAGAAATATACGTTTAAATGTAACAAAACATAAAGATTCACTTGTACAAACGTATTGTACAGGTGAATCTTTTGCTTTTTTTTACACAAATTTATACAAAAATTTGCACTCTTTTAGCAAATAAATTAAACTATAAAATATAATCACAGTTCATCAAGATTAAACACAATAAAATACACAGATTTTCAATTAAATTCGTCTCCTTTGCACTTCTCTGATGTATGGAAGAAGAAGCAAAAGAGCATTTACAGAAGAGGATTTCTAAAAATTTCAAAATTTAAACGAAGGAAGGAACAATATTGTATAATTAGGAATATATTTTGAATGTAAAGGGACGAAATTAAACATCTGCCGCGAGTTCTAATGAAATGTTTGTCACCGGAATCGATGAGAGCCCATTAAAAGCGAGTAGAGCCACCGAATGGATACTTGAATAGCTAATGAGGCATTGGCCTTTACGCATTGTTTCTAACACACTAAATAGCCTTGTTTCGATCGCTTCCGAATTTGCTCGCCGATATTATATACAAATTACTAATTTCCAAACCTCGTTACCCACACGCCTTTAAAGATAATTCCTTGCCAATTGCTTCCCTAAACCGAGTTTCCCTCTAATTCTAAACGGTTAAAATGTCAATAATTATTCATTTTAAATGGAAAATTTATGTATCTCTACATATTTCCGGGCTTAAATTCAATTTAGAAACGTTACAAGACGTAAATATGGGCATGTTTGCTGCTAATTTCAACTTAAACTCGAAATATAAACCTTATTTTATAGAATAAATTCAAGTTAAAAAAAATATATATATTCGCACGGTCAATTTAGAAACAAGTTCTTGTTTTTTCTGGCTTGTTTATGAATGGTTGCATGCAACGAAAGTTCGGTTCATTCGGAAAATTTAATGTTAAATTAAGTAAATCGCCTGTAAAAAATAGCTTTTTATCTATATATTTAGCTGGGTGATGATATATTCTTGCAGTAAAATCGTGCAGTAAAACTATACCGCTTGGCATTTTCCTATGAAGAATGCACCGAAATTGCCAATTTTTTTTCTTTATTTATAATACCAAAATTCCTAAATTATCGCTGTAATTTACCGAATTTTACAGCGTTAATCCTGTAAAATCATGCAGTAAAACCGTAAAAATTCCTGACATTATGTTAAATTTCTATAATTTACGGTGGCATTCTTCACAGAGGTAAAAAAAAAAAACCCGTCAAAATGATAAATTTTTACTTTAAAACATTAAAATTTCACACTTAAATCTACATTATAAACGAATTTTAAGTCACTTCATCCTCGTCAAAATTAGCAAGAATTACTTATAAAACATAAAATTTGATTAATAAATCGTTTATATCGATTATAAATAAGATTAATATAGTTTAAAGTTATAAATTTCATGCAATTTTACTCGTTTATAATAAGAAAAATATATCCAAATGACAAATTAATATACGTTAAGGGTGAAAAATATCGGTTTTATCTGTAAATCAATCTGGTTTAATGTCGTAGTAATGTTTCTCCATTCACAGATGACATGATATTATCCCTTGTAATATTTTGTTGCTGTAATTTTACTCATTTATCTTACTCTAACGGATAAAGAAGATGCTAAAATCTCTCTCGCTCTCTCTGTCTCCAGCATCTAATCTTTCCTATTAACTTAGTGATCAACATCCAAATTTTCTCCACCTTTCTTCCATCGAAATTTGGATAAAATCTTGTTAAAAACTTGTAAAAATTTCTTAAATAATTCAAGAAATATTTAAATAAGAGATTTTGGAAGAGGATAAATTCAAAATATTGCTATGAATAATATAAATAATATATAAGGTATGCTGTTTCTTTTTTTTTTGTGCCTGAAGATGATTTATGTTTTAAGGAATCGATAGTTGCAATAAATGTGAGTAAAATGGAGGGAAATATATATGATTTTTTTGTCGTAATCAGTGTTATAAGCCCATAAATCCTAGAGAATTTTTATCTCGTATCCATACGCTTTGGGAATCCTCTTATGAGGCCTCAATAAGGATTTTCCCGTCACTATGGTCTCTCTCAACTCGTGGGCTTCCTTCAACTCGCGAGTCTTCATTACGAGTTCCTTCAAAACAAGGACCATGACTATGGGCTTCCTGAATCGTGGGTATCATTTATGAGGTTCCTTGAGCTTACGAGTCCTCATTACGCGCTCCTTCAGATTACAGACACTCACTGGTATCATAGACCTTTGCAGTCCCTCTTGAAATCCCTGTTGAATATCTCGATACGTGTTTTATAAACTATAAAAACAGTATTTTTATACGGAATTTTACACAAAACATGCTCTGATACAGTATTTTCTGTAAAGAATCTTTATCAGTTTTACACAGGTTTTAAGATAAATATATTCTTATAACTCGAATCTATATAGCATATAAGGTTAAAATAATATAGATTTTTTTAATCAAAATTCTATATAATTGAATTTTATAGCCTTTAAAGTAACGAAGTCCTTCGATTTCTTCACCGTCAACCTCATAAAAATTAAGAGAAATCATTAAAAAAACACCCATAAAATGGCAGAAATAAGCTTCCTCTTTCTAATTTCTCTCGTATTTTTAAGTGAGAAACGATAATTATATACTTTAATCAAGTCGTTTTACTCCCTACGTCCCTTTCTTACCTTAAAGAGTGGCAATTTTTCGTGGTTAAACTTGATATTCTCCAGGAAAACCAAAAGATCTCATCAAGAAACTCATTCTAAATTAACTTGTACAATAAATTCTTAAAAGGTTTAATGCTTATTTAAGTTAATTAATCCTAAAACCGTGGAATTTACATAATGTTAATTAAGAGAAGATTAAATTTTGTATTTCAATTTAAAATAATTGCGTGTACTTATCATCTTGCCTTATTAGAGTCTCCACCGAAGAAGTGAACGTTGGACGACACCCAACGTAATACCTCCACTTGATCCCAGAAGCCATAATTACCATAAGTGACTTCGTCCGGTTCCAAAAGGTCCAGTGCCAAAAATCCCAGAGCGTGTAGACGGTAGTTAAAAGAGATAAACACTGTATTTAACTGTTTAGCCAACCTCCCACTCGGGCTCAAGCCTGCTTGATGGCCACTACCGAACTGCAAGAAGCCACCGTGGATCCATATCATGACGTTCAAACCCACCTGAAAATAATAATAAAAAAAATCCATGTAAATTAATTAATTTTGGGTCGTAAGGCACGCCATAAGGTCATGTGAGACTTAAGGATGCCTTAAGACAAGAGGATTCAACAAGACGAAATCTTAAAGGCCTTACAGTGTGCCTTTAAGAACATGTACCAAGAACGTCTCGTTGTATTTCGTTTAATCTCGCCTGAAATAATAAAATTTACACTTTAATCGTGTGAAATTTACTGTAAAATGATTTAACGAGGCAATTTATAAGGTTTAAAAGCCTGAATGGTAACTACGTTAGGATATTATGACTTTCGTAGCCAACTGTAACGTCATACAGCAGTGCCTTTAAAATTAATTTTAATCTTTAGTATAAGGCTTTAAAGCTTAATATAAAGGCTTACATAAAATTATATAAATTGATAAAAGCCCGAATCACGTCTTACACTCCTGTGTTACAACTCTCAGATCCAACAAGCTCTATAAAGGTAGCATTTAATATCTCTAATATAAGGCATTCTTTAAGGCTTAATACGAAGGCTTATACGGCAATATAAATCCCTAGAATTTAGACAACGAAGTACGACGTTGAGAACAATACAAAATTAATTCTAAACCTCTAACAAATCACACATAAAGCACATTACAAATGTCATAAAGCACCCAAGACACAAGATTTCCGTAAACCGATTAACGTTATCGAATGGTTAAAAGCAATTTTCTTCGATTACAAAGTTATATATACCTTATAATTTATGTATAGGAGGCCTATAGGATTAATTACACTCGAAGGAATCAATAATACTTTCGCATAATTACTCTCCCTAAGAGAATTTACAGTCTGTGACCAGAGTTGGGGAAATTTCATTCGCTTTGGATGTTACTCGAATAGATCAATTCCAATAACACGCTCTCTGTGCTTTATTCCCTTAAGGATGTCAAATTATCCTAGCAAAGAAGATCGTCCGTAAATCTCATAAATATTCGTCTTGTTTTCCTTTACTAATTCATCACATACAAAAAAAGTTTTCTGTTAGTTTCCTAACGAATTCCGTTGTTTGTATAAGGAAATTTACAAGTAAAACGTATTACGTAACAATACGTATTAAAATTCTAGAAAAATTCGATGATTTTGTAGTTTATTATTACGTAATAATCGATATTTATCTGTATTATTGCGTATTAAAATTCTAGAAAAAGTCTAGAATTTTATCATTGTTACGTAATAATCCAAATATATTTCGATTATTACGTAAGAATATATTTAAAAAATTCACGATAAATCTACAATTTTATCATCTATTGTTACGCAACAATTAGAGCTTGTTATATTTATTGAAATTTCTTGAAAAATTCGAGAATTTTTTAAAGTATTAAATTTAATAATTTTTTTTATTATTATAAATAACACTTTAAAAATATTTTTAAATAATTTTAGAAGATAAAAATTTAAATTTAAGCGTAAAAAATCGCTAATTAAGGCGAAGTTTCGTATTTAAAATCTGAATAAAATTTTAAAAAAAATGAGCTCGTGTTTTTATACAGGAGAACATTCAAGCGTATAAACATTATAGAAAACATGGAAGCCAATGTAAATTTACATATCGACTCGTCTATAAACTCTTCAGTTGAAGGGATTTTACGATCATTTTCAAAACTTTCTCTTCTGACGACAACTTCACTGTAAATAAGCTTTATTGTGTGACTTTATTACACGAATAACTACGTTCTATTCTAGTTTACTGTAAAGGAAAACACAATTTCTTAGATAAATTGCCGTATAGGAACACCCCGAAAAAACGATTTAGTGTTTAGTTAACAAAATTTTACAGTAATAAAATACAAGAGAGGGTGGAGAGGGGTAGATTTAAAATTCTATACTCGTCCTACGCGGAAGTACTGCCAAGTACAGTGGCAGAAATTGGCAGGGACATATCTACACGACAAATTATTTAAGAGACATTAAACTTTAGCCATTTGCTTATCGAAAGCAATCTTTGGTAGAGGAGGAAAGGGTAAAGAGGCGCCTGAATTTAATCCAATTTGTTATTGACTTTAATATTACCTTTAGGTTTCATGCAAGAGTTATTCCTTGAAGGAAATTTAATCATATCTAGCTTATTAGCGGTTTAATAATAACCTTACACATCAAATGCGATTATTTTCGAGTGAATGAAAGGTAAATATAATTAAGATACAGCCATTATATAGAGATACATTCGGATACTTTAAGGTATCGGATTAAATTTACTGTCGAGGAGATGGCATCCGGAATCTTTAGAAAATATCTTCTGGGGTTATGGGATGTTTGTACGATTGCCCTCATAGGAGAAAGCAATCAAAAAACAGTAGGAAAACACCACATTACGGGGTTACAACTTCACAGAACTTTCGTTAATGGCAACATCAAAGTGATGAAGTCGGATTACCTAAGAAGATTCTACTAGAGATGAACGTGGACTGAAGGCGAAATCTTTTGCATTCGAACGATAGAGTAGAAAACAGTTTAGAAGTATCAATTGCAAACTTCCAAATTGTCCCACCGACGGTCATTTCTGTCGTCTTTACGCTAGCAAAACATTCAGACAGAAGGGGGGATGATAAATATTCATCTCTCTCACCCCAGGAAGAAGAAATAGGGAAAAAAAGTAATATAAAGAGAGGTTTCGTATCGAAAGATGGATACAAAGTATCGAAGCGGGATGAAGGTACTTCATCATCAATTGTAAAATCTATAAAGAGGAGAGCAAGCAGAAATGACAGCGGTAGATCAGCTGGAGAACATCGAGATTTGTTCCTTTTATTTTAAGCAAAGAAACGAAGAAAACCGGTGCTCACTAACCAGAAAAAATAATAAAAAATATAGAAGAAGAAGGAAGGAGAAGAAGCCAGCAAACTGTTCCATTCGACTCTAAACTTTTTGTAAAAAAAAATAAAATCGATATTTAATATAAAAAATGGCGATACTATTATGATATTTAAAAAAAAAAGAAAACAAGATGCATAATTCGTAACGGAGTAACATTCTTCTACGCTTACATCCCGCCTTATCAATCAAACTTTCATTATAAACTACCCAAACGTCAAATATCCAATACATAAATATTATAATTTCTTCCCTTCTCCTTCAAATAATTTGTAAAGTAAAAAAATAAATAAAAAAATAAAAAAAGAAAGTAATTTTGTATCTGCCTTTTCTTGAATAAAAATACCCTATTGCTTTCATATTTGTAATGTTGGTCCGTATGTCTGTACACATCTTTAAAAATAAATCTGTTGTAAGTAAGCATTTAAAATTTTTCAAATATATATATAGCCTATATTTGATTCTTCTAGAGTGAAAAATGAAGCTTTTTATTAATAAAGTATAGTACAAAACCAATTTTTTTTTACAATTTTTACAAAAGAAAAGGTAATTTTTTTAATAGAATTAAAGTAAAGAAAACGTGCCCTTTCTTATATATATTTTTTTCTATATAAGGTGAAACAATTTGAAGTAAAAACTACCCTTCACTTTACTAGTTTCTAACGATCACAAGCTTGTAACAAAGTTAATTTTACAACGTATATAGTAAATTCTACAAGACTTTAACACATTCTATACGGTAAAAAATGTATTTTTTTTTTAGCTTTCTAGAGTGTAAAATAGACACCTTTTTTATTACGTTACATAAAATCACCCTTTATATAAAAATTATTAAAAATATATGTATTTTACCAGTTTAGGCTCGTAACAGAGTTAATTTTACAACCTTTACAGTAAAATTTACAAAATTTTAATACATTTATACCGTAAAAATTGTATATTCTTAGCCGTCTAGAGTGGCAAATCATCCTTACATTTTCTTTTATATAAGAAAAAATATTAAAAAAATATATTTACTTTACCAGTTTCTAACGATCGTATGCTCGTAACAAAGTTAATTTTACAAGCAATACAACATACGTACAATCCAATTTAATATATATATCTATACGGTATATATTTATAAGATATTATAGTTTATACCCTACCTGATAGTTCTACACAAAAGAAAGGGATCTTGAACAATAAATTTAAGTTCAACATCAACAAAATTGAAGCGGCAAGGGGAAGGGGAAACAGGGAAGATAGTTTGTTCGTTTCTTTTATATTAGTTCTACTGATATCTCGATACATCAGACGAGTGCAATAATATCGAAAGATACAAACATAAAAGAAAAAAATAAATAAAATAAAATAAGATTTCATCTTCCTCCTCTTCTTTGGTCTATCTCTTATTATAGTAAAACTATTTTACTTTACATCCAGATTGATTCTATTGTTCATCAATACTAAAAAAAAAAAAAGAAAAGAAAACAAGCAAACAAAAATATCTCATTACGTCTTCTAGAAATATCCCTTCTTCTTCGTCTTCTTTGAAGTAAAATTCAATTTTTACAAGTTATAACAACATTTTTGTATTCATTAAACGGATTAGAAAAATGTAATTAAAATTTAATATTAAATTATAAATATATAAGACGAAGATGGGGGAGGGAGAAATATGGAGGACGTATCGGTCTTCGGTATATCCAATTATCTTAATTAATTCCTTCTATAAAAATTAGGAAAAAGAAAAGAGGAAGATGTAGAAAAATTGAGAAGAAGGGAGAGAAGTTAATGTAATAATCTTTAAGCAAAAGAAAACTCGATTATGTTAGAAAGAATGGAACAAATTGTATCAATATGGCTGCATACATGAGATATCACTTTTCATTTGACAGATTGCCAAGATTGCTGATAAATAACAGCTAAAGTATCAGAAAGAATTCATCAAAAATTAGTTTTTCTTTATTTAAAAAAAATGTATAAAAAAGATTTATATATAATATTTTTTTTCTATCGACAAATGTAAGTGAATGGGTGGATGATATTTTCTATTACTTTGAAGTTTGTTCAATTATCTTTTAAAAGAAAAGATGAAATAAAAAAGACAAAATATATATATATATATAACGATTTTTGACTTGAAATAATGTTCAAAAATAGAATTATTTTCTTTTATTTTTTTTTTATATAAAAACATTTCTTCTTTATTTTTTTATAAAATTAAAATATAAAAAATAATATATTTTTTGAGNCATTTGTATTTTTATAAATTATCAATTTCATTTGTATTTTTATAAATTATCAATTTCATTTGTATTTTTATAAATTATCAATTTCATTTGTATTTTTATAAATTATCAATTTCATTTGTATTTTTATAAATTATCAATTTCATTTGTATTTTTATAAATTATCAATTTCATTTGTATTTTTATAAATTATCAATTTCATTTGTATTTTTATAAATTATCAATTTCATTTGTATTTTTATAAATTATCAATTTCATTTGTATTTTTATAAATTATCAATTTCATTTGTATTTTTATAAATTATCAATTTCATTTGTATTTTTATAAATTATCAATTTCATTTGTATTTTTATAAATTATCAATTTCATTTGTATTTTTATAAATTATCAATTTCATTTGTATTTTTATAAATTATCAATTTCATTTGTATTTTTATAAATTATCAATTTCATTTGTATTTTTATAAATTATCAATTTCATTTGTATTTTTATAAATTATCAATTTCATTTGTATTTTTATAAATTATCAATTTCATTTGTATTTTTATAAATTATCAATTTCATTTGTATTTTTATAAATTATCAATTTCATTTGTATTTTTATAAATTATCAATTTCATTTGTATTTTTATAAATTATCAATTTCATTTGTATTTTTATAAATTATCAATTTCATTTGTATTTTTATAAATTATCAATTTCATTTGTATTTTTATAAATTATCAATTTCATTTGTATTTTTATAAATTATCAATTTCATTTGTATTTTTATAAATTATCAATTTCATTTGTATTTTTATAAATTATCAATTTCATTTGTATTTTTATAAATTATCAATTTCATTTGTATTTTTATAAATTATCAATTTCATTTGTATTTTTATAAATTATCAATTTCATTTGTATTTTTATAAATTATCAATTTCATTTGTATTTTTATAAATTATCAATTTCATTTGTATTTTTATAAATTATCAATTTCATTTGTATTTTTATAAATTATCAATTTCATTTGTATTTTTATAAATTATCAATTTCATTTGTATTTTTATAAATTATCAATTTCATTTGTATTTTTATAAATTATCAATTTCATTTGTATTTTTATAAATTATCAATTTCATTTGTATTTTTATAAATTATCAATTTCATTTGTATTTTTATAAATTATCAATTTCATTTGTATTTTTATAAATTATCAATTTCATTTGTATTTTTATAAATTATCAATTTCATTTGTATTTTTATAAATTATCAATTTCATTTGTATTTTTATAAATTATCAATTTCATTTGTATTTTTATAAATTATCAATTTCATTTGTATTTTTATAAATTATCAATTTCATTTGTATTTTTATAAATTATCAATTTCATTTGTATTTTTATAAATTATCAATTTCATTTGTATTTTTATAAATTATCAATTTCATTTGTATTTTTATAAATTATCAATTTCATTTGTATTTTTATAAATTATCAATTTCATTTGTATTTTTATAAATTATCAATTTCATTTGTATTTTTATAAATTATCAATTTCATTTGTATTTTTATAAATTATCAATTTCATTTGTATTTTTATAAATTATCAATTTCATTTGTATTTTTATAAATTATCAATTTCATTTGTATTTTTATAAATTATCAATTTCATTTGTATTTTTATAAATTATCAATTTCATTTGTATTTTTATAAATTATCAATTTCAGTCGTATTTTTAGTTACAATTATTATTATTATTTTTCTATTTTTATTCTTTTTCCCCCTATTTATTAGTATAATATTTTAGCAATATGTTCCTTGTTTTCATATTTTATACATAATTCGTGACCATGTTTCATACATTATAACTAGATTTAAACTACAGTTTGGCTTATACTACACCTAAAAAAATAAAAAAAAATATGATTTCTCTTCCTTATACATTAAAATAGACAAATAGAATATAAAAAAAAATCAATAATTTATTCACTAAAAAATCTTTTTCGTTAACATATATAAAAAGTTTCTATCTTTGTATATATGTGTGTTTGTGTATAGCCATAAAAAATTCAATTTAATAGGCAAGTTTTAGATATTAAAAACAAATTTCTCACATATAAATTATTCATTACATGAATATAAACATATATTTTAATAATCAACACATATTTAAATATTAATAACAGTTATTATCGTGTCAACACGGTTCGATAATATTGTTAAATAACTAATTAAAGAGCGGATATGATAATGATTGATGCTGTTTTCCTGTTTTATTATTATTATTTTAATACATATAATACGTTTTTTATTGCTGATAGATTAGTCATAAATTAAATTTTTGATTTTACGATGTTAGTATATAGTTTATTGCATTTATATTTAAATAAATAAGTTATATATGAATATATAAAGAAATTAAACTTGATAGGCTTTTCGTTCGTATAAGAACAGGTCATTAATTCTAGAATATATATCAAAATTGTATTCATTCTACTCCAATAGTTTCTGATGGCTTTTAACCTCCCTAAAGACCTCAGCAGCTATAAAAACTAACAGACCATGACGAGTAAACACACGAATCAGATCTATATTTCCTATAGTATCCTATATCACGTAGAAGAAAGGAACAAATGTAACTTTCTACATCATATTTTCCTTTATTACACCTACAACTTATATGTGTTACATTTAATCAAGTGTTAATTGTACGAATCTACAAGAGAAATTTACTTACATTTTTCTGTAGAGTGGGTGTCCACACGTTGAGATACAAACAGTTTTCGCTCCCCTCGTACTGGCGTGTGTAAGGATTAAGTTGAAAACAAGGTGGACCGAAATTTTTACAATTTAATTTACGATTCGGTCTGCACCACTGGCTGTCTGACCAAAGAGGAATCGGTTTTCTCCATCTTAAATTACCAACCGGAGATTTGGCATACGGAATACCCTAATTAAAATAAAAATTAAAAGAATATTTTTATCATTTATATCGTAATTTTTCAATAATATCGACAGTAAAATTTTATCTCTTGTTTTTTAAAAAAAAAGAGATTATTTTTAAGTAGAAAAGAAGAATTAAATTTTGTTTAAAACGTTTAACCTTTGCATTAATTTTCTTACCAGAGATCATTTATCTTGAACCCAAAAAAAAGGGGGTTACAGTGGTTAATAATTTACAGTTCACACCATTGAATCAATCATGTTTTCGAGTTAATTTATCTAACGGTTTCTGCATCAATAACTTCCTCAAGTAATTTTTTTTCCCAGCTTTCTCCTGAAGATAATAAAATATTACTCCGATTTTACTCCAAAAAATCCTCAACAAAAAAATTCAAATTTTACTTAAAAACTTGTGTATATAATCAACCTGTTTTGTATATATTCCTGTTAGCCATCATTACAATTCACCAATACGGGAATTTACAAGTAAAATCACTAAAATTATAAAGTTAGATAGAAGAAATGATTTTTTTTTTAAAGTTTTATTTTCATATTTTTTTACAGTTTAAATTCGTTTTTTTTTATATTTTTTCTCTTATCTGAAAATTGTGTTTTTTTTTCTTGTCTTTTTCCCCCTGTTTCAGTGGAGGTAATCTATATCAATGGAAGGAGAGGGATGGATCAATTGCAATTCTTAGGAATCTTCATTATCAACAACGGTTCCTGGTCTTACTCAGCATCTTTTCGAATTTTGAGAACAATAAAAATTCACTATCTTAAACTCTAGCTTCTGATACTATCGACAGCGAGTGGATCCTTTCACACACACATACATACAAAAACTTCTTTCGAATTTACTCGAAATTTTCCAGAGAATAAGACTATAAAAAATTCAAAAAGGTTGCTGCTAAACCGAATAAAAAATTATATAAAATATTATAATTCCCATGTTATTCATTAAATTTGCGTTAAAATCTATTAGGCCCCATTACCTAATTAAAAAATAAGTAAATAAAAGAGAGAAAATATTAAAATTGCCTTAAATATATAAAAGTTACACGTGTTTTTATATAAATTCTTATATTATTCACTACATATACTTGAATTTCTTACATTATTCCCTATTTTTGCTTGTATTTCTCACATTATTCCCTATTTTTCTGCTTGAATTTATTCCCTATTTTTGCTTGATTTACTTACAATAACATCAAAACTTTCCAGGAAAGAAACTATAAAAAAATATAATTAAAATTTAAAAAAAAAAACACTGCTACACGAATATAAAATTACAATAAAATGGCGTTTTTTTCCCACATTTTAATCATTATAACATCCTTTTAAAATAAATTTAAAACTAATTTAAAAAAATATTCTTACACAGTAATTAAAGAAACATTTTTAAATCAAGGTATTTATTTAAAAAAATAATAAAAAAAAATTCCTCCGATATTTAACGAGAATAATTTATAATTTAAAAAGTAATTTTTATGCTTTAATTTATTTTTTCAAACTAAAAATTCGAATTTAATTACAATAATAAAAAAATTTACAAAAAATCGTTTATATGCAGCTATAAATCATTTTTTGCATTATAAAATTCAACTTGGCATTTATATCACGTATATATATATATATATATATTTCCTATTTTTTACAAGATATCTTCTGGTGAAATTGTATAAAAATTGAATAGTTTCTAGTGCTAGACAGAGAATACTTCTTCCATATTAAACAATTCGAAGATCTCAACTTTCTATATCCAAGTTTCTAAACTATTTCCTTGAATCTTAACAAAGTTATAACTGGAAATTTCATCTTAATATATTCAACAATATTAGCATTCAATCTAAATTACAATTAGCATAACTTGAAATATTTTTTTTTTTTTTTTTTTATGGCAATTTACTAGGGGTATACACTAATATACTTTACTAGATTGAAATATTATTAAAATAAATTTTAATGTTTGAAATTTCTGAAAAATTTTTGAAGTATTTAACGTTAAAAAAAATCTGTTACTTTTATTTATTTATTTATTTTATTTCCAGATGAAACAGGAGACTTGCCAAAGCGGCCATTTTTAAACTAATGTCAGATATGCTGCATACATAAATAAATATAAAGGGGGGTGGGTGGATTACCTTTTCACTTTGTATCGATTTATAAGAGAAAACTATTTGAAATAGTAAATAATATTTTTTTTTATTTAAAAAAAATAGACGTATCCATTATTTTCTTTTGATTTAAAATATTAAATTTACGTTTAATATTACAAAAATAACGTGGCTTCGTTTATTATATCTTCAATATTTCTTACGAGAAAATAATTTAGTTTACAACAACATCCATCGATTTTTTTTTTTTTTCTATAAAATATAAACTAATATTCTTAAATTCTGGATAATCGTATTTGAAGAAATACGTTTAAAATTCTAGTTTAGAGTTAAAGTATTGGTTAAATTCTGTTGGGTTTTCTTTGAGATTTAGAAGAGCAATTCACTTTTATGTATCCACATAGTTTTGGCTTTCAGAAAGACACGATACCTTTACAAATTCCCGTGGCATTTTAACTCGTAGACACGTAAAAAATTCCCAGAAAAAACCTTAAAAAATGTTTTAAAAAAAAGAAAGAAAATTCCGACTTAAACAAGTTCTTCTATAAACAATTAAATAAAACCTCTTCAAATCTTTCAATTTATCTACTTAACAGTGGTATGTAAGTACTTGTTATCCTTTCTTACATAGAAATCTTTAGATTTTTCTTGTAAAAATTCTTACTAAAATAAACAAAAAAAAACATTTTTTTGTATTGAACTAATTACTATTAACACTAAGGTTACCTTCATTAAATTAGATTAATAACATTTAGGTAAAGAGACGAGTGGAGATTGTTTGCTCCGCCAACACAAATCAAAAGAGTAAACAATTCGATTCAATCGACATCAAAGAAAATTAATTTAAATTAGCTACTCCTAATTTTCCAAAAGGAATTTCGAAGAGGAAGAAGGAAAGGGAGAGGGGGATGGAAACCCGATAGGAAATTTTGAAATCCCGCGAGTTAGCGCGTGAAAATTTAAATTTACTTTATTAATTAATAATCAAACAATATTTTTATTTAATAAAAGTTGATCATAATTAAATTTTCATCATTAAAATTCTAGCAAAAGAAATGCATTCGCCAGTTACNTTTTTTTCTATATAAGGTGAAACAATTTGAAGTAAAAACTACCCTTCACTTTACTAGTTTCTAACGATCACAAGCTTGTAACAAAGTTAATTTTACAACGTATATAGTAAATTCTACAAGACTTTAACACATTCTATACGGTAAAAAATGTATTTTTTTTTTAGCTTTCTAGAGTGTAAAATAGACACCTTTTTTATTACGTTACATAAAATCACCCTTTATATAAAAATTATTAAAAATATATGTATTTTACCAGTTTAGGCTCGTAACAGAGTTAATTTTACAACCTTTACAGTAAAATTTACAAAATTTTAATACATTTATACCGTAAAAATTGTATATTCTTAGCCGTCTAGAGTGGCAAATCATCCTTACATTTTCTTTTATATAAGAAAAAATATTAAAAAAATATATTTACTTTACCAGTTTCTAACGATCGTATGCTCGTAACAAAGTTAATTTTACAAGCAATACAACATACGTACAATCCAATTTAATATATATATCTATACGGTATATATTTATAAGATATTATAGTTTATACCCTACCTGATAGTTCTACACAAAGGAAAGGGATCTTGAACAATAAATTTAAGTTCAACATCAACAAAATTGAAGCGGCAAGGGGAAGGGGGGATACAGGGAAGATAGTTTGTTCGTTTCTTTTATATTAGTTCTACTGATATCTCGATACATCAGACGAGTGCAATAATATCGAAAGATACAAACATAAAAGAAAAAAATAAATAAAATAAAATAAGATTTCATCTTCCTCCTCTTCTTTGGTCTATCTCTTATTATAGTAAAACTATTTTACTTTACATCCAGATTGATTCTATTGTTCATCAATACTAAAAAAAAAAAAAGAAAAGAAAACAAGCAAACAAAAATATCTCATTACGTCTTCTAGAAATATCCCTTCTTCTTCGTCTTCTTTGAAGTAAAATTCAATTTTTACAAGTTATAACAACATTTTTGTATTCATTAAACGGATTAGAAAAATGTAATTAAAATTTAATATTAAATTATAAATATATAAGACGAAGATGGGGGAGGGAGAAATATGGAGGACGTATCGGTCTTCGGTATATCCAATTATCTTAATTAATTCCTTCTATAAAAATTAGGAAAAAGAAAAGAGGAAGATGTAGAAAAATTGAGAAGAAGGGAGAGAAGTTAATGTAATAATCTTTAAGCAAAAGAAAACTCGATTATGTTAGAAAGAATGGAACAAATTGTATCAATATGGCTGCATACATGAGATATCACTTTTCATTTGACAGATTGCCAAGATTGCTGATAAATAACAGCTAAAGTATCAGAAAGAATTCATCAAAAATTAGTTTTTCTTTATTTAAAAAAAAAAAAAAAAAAAAAAATAATTAATTTAAAAAAAATTAAAACTGGTAAATAATAAGAATAAAAAAATGCTTTATAAAAGAAGAAAAATTACATTTAAACGCAATAAAAATTAATATAACATTTGTTCTTTTAATTGTTAAGACTTTAAACAAATTTTTTTTTCTCTTACTATTTACTATTTCTGTAGATTTAACAATTGTTTCCTATCTTTTTTTCTAAATTTTTTACTTGTCTGTAAACATTATGCAAATATTTGCAATCCTCTTCAATATTTAATATTGTTTTTCTTTTGTTTTTTTAAGAAAATAAGAAGAATAAGAAGAGAGGGAGGAGGAAAAAGAAGAGGAGGAGAAGTGTTAAATTTGTCGATATCTTTTTAACATAAGAAGAAATTTTAATCCTCAAAAAACACTTAATATAATTATTCGTGTCAGATTGAAAATTGTAAATTAAATTCT